CTATTGCTATCTATCTATCTATCTATCTATCTATCTATCTATCTATCTATCTATCTATCTATCATCTATCTATCTATCTATCTATCTATATCTATATGTCTGTCTGTCTGTCTGTCTATCTATCTATCTATCTATCTATCTATCTATCTATCTATCTATCTATCGGATTGTTGGGGGCGATATGCTGACTCTGTAAACCGCTTAGAGAGGGCTGAAAGCCCTATGAAGCGGTATATAAGTCTAACTATTACTATTTATAAGGAGGAGTTACTACTAAACCTTGGGCTCTTTATTTTTTTAGATTCAGCCAGTTGTCTCTTGAGGACGTACTTCCCTGAAGGCATGAGTGAAGCTTTGATAGGAAATATCCTCTTTGGTGCAGTTAGTGGATTGAACTATATGCATCAACATGGCTATATTCACAGGTAATATGGAAGAACCTCATTGCAATCCAGCCAATGATTTCAGCTGAAGCTTTAAAAGTTATGTGATTATTTTATTTTATCTATTTTCTTTTAGTAGCGTTCTCTGATTAAGATGTATATCCTTACCAAATATAACAATTTATGTTTTCATTTCTCGTTCTCAGAGGGAAATCCAAAATGCTTTAAAATATATTAAACCTCCACAAACATTCCAATTATTTTAATATATCAAGTTTTGAGTATATTACAATATGAATATTTAATTTCTGGTACAAGGCATTTTCTGATGAGATTCATGAGCTCATTAAGGGTTTCTTCCAGAGGTGGGTTCCTACCGGTTCAGACCGGTTTGGCTGAAACGGTAGTGGTTTGGTAGTCAGGATTGCTGGAACTGGCAGCAACCCAGGCCTGCCACGCCCCCGAACCAGTTCTCTGGGCGGCACCATAGATGGCACCATCTTGGGTTTTTTTTTTTGCTTCTGCGCATATCGAGAGCAATTTTTATTGCACTGCGTGTGCGGCGCAACCACATGCAAACCAATAGTAATGACTGCCGGAACACACAAACACACACACGGCTTCTTCCCTTGGCCTCTAATTGCTAGCTCTTAAATTTTAAGAACTATTTGAAGTTTCTAAGTACATTATGAAGAAATGGTACAACAAGAGACAGGACAAAAGGAAAACATTGAGCTATCTGTAGGAGCTCTTATGCATAGCTAAATGATCTCGTTGAATTATTACCACAGTTGTTTACAGTGAAGTAATTTAGACATGTTCTACACATTGTGACTTCTACTGCATAAGGTCTTAGGTTACCTTACATTGTAGAGTTCTTCTAGTAGGTACCCTATATAGATCCCTGTTGTGGCCCAGCAGGAGCCGTTGGAGCTGCCACCAGACTCCGACAGCGAGGGGCCCTATGAGTCGGCTTTGGAGGATGTGGAGGACCTTGGACAGGGTTCTGACTCCGAGCAGGGCGCAGAGAGGCTGGTTGGCCCCCAGGATGCGCCTGGGCCTTGGACCAGTGGGGAGGAGACTAGGGAGAGTGATCCAGATGCCAGCAGTGAGTTGTTCCTGGATGCCCGGCACCGGAGACCTAATAGGCATACGGAACAATTACACAATTACAGGAGGTAATTGCACTCAGCTGGTGGTCATTAAGCTCCTCTCCAGACTATAAAAAGGACTGCTTGTGCACACACCCCTTTTGCAGAAGTCAACATAGGAACTAATGTCAGAGAACATTATTGTGAGCTTGGCAGGCTGGATTGCTGCCAAGGCTTGTGTGTGCCAGTTTGCTGCCAAGGACCTGTCTGTCTATTAATAAATTCCGTAAAGTATCTTTGGCTTGGAGTGCTTTGGTGTGGAACGAGGGGGGTCAGATCATATCCCTATATAGTTTTGTGGAATACAAATGTACAGATAAAAAGCATATAATTCAATACTTATAGCCTTATTAAAATTAGAACTCATGCAATATTGTTTAAACTTGTATTTAAAAAGTGGGGGGGAGTCACCAAGTAAATTTTGCTATTCTGACTGGAGGAGGAGGGAAGAGAATTAGAAAAAAAATTGAGAAATGGGTCACATTAACCTAGAATAATTCTCTTATGTTGTACTGACCAAGGGATTATTCACACACATTTCACATTGTGGGCTTTTTAAAAATCCTAGAAACATTGAAGGCTATATGCTGGTAATGGCTGGCTCCTATACAATAGCTCATGAACATTTTCTGTTTCACTCTAACCTAGCCCACAGCCATCCAGTCTCTTTCCATTTTCTCTCTGTGCATGTAACTATAGGCTGAACTGTTGGGTATTTAGTTAGGGAAGCTTTGTGGGATGAATCCAGCCCATAAGCCAGTTTTATCATCCCAGGCTTGCAGAGAAGTAGAATGAGAAGGAGTTGGTACCTTCTTGGGATAAGGCCCATTTAATGGATCATTTGAAATTGTCACTTCAAATCAAGGCATCTTTTATATTGCGAGCATCTTTGCTAGATACATCTTCACAGGCTGAGTGAGGTCTGTTATTTATTAGACGAGTAATTCTTAACTAAATTCAAGAATAACTCAAGCAAGAACAGCATCAAGTTAAACGTAAACAGTATGTCTCAATTCTCTTTCTGATGCAATAAAGAATAGCATAACCTCTAAATATAATCTATAGAAAAGATTATAGCTTTTAAGAGGAAACAAAGCTACCTAAGTGATGTATCCGAATCTTAATATGTATTTAGTAGGATAGTCTTTCAAGCAAAATAATTGGGGTTTTATTAATTAATTTGTTTGTTTGCATTTCAGAAGTATTAAAGCTAGCCACATATTGATTTCAGGGGATGGCCTAGTTTATTTGTCGGGCTTAAATCACCTCTATAGTTTAGTCAGCAGTGGACAACAGTTAAAAGCTGTGTATGATTTCCCCCAGTTCAGTACATCTATGCTTCCTTGGCTGAGTCCTGAACTACTAAGGCAGGTCAGTATATATTAGATTGCATTGTGGATGTGCTTTCCTGCTATATATATATATACTGCGTCAGAAATTTATTAAGTATTTAAATTCTGCACCCTAGATGTTAATCTTAATTTTGTTGGTTTATATCCTTTATGATTTTTTAAACATTGGCATTTAATGTTTTATCTAAAACTATGTATGCAGTATGAATTTTGATGCATTACAGATATACTGTGATTCCAAGATGTATATTCCATATCGTTTAAAATGGTATCTCTGAATCCCTATAGTCCTATGTACAATTATCTTGGCCAAATGATCGCTGAAAATCAGGAAGCCTGTTGTTATATGTACATAGTAAAATAATTGTTTTTAATTCATCTATTTCTGTTGACAAATATATTTTTAGCATTTCTTTCCTGTAGAATTTAATTTCCAGTATTCTGGAAAATAAATAAATTTGTTGTAGTTGAGATGGTCATAAAACTTTCTTTGAAAGGACATTGTATGAAAGGACATTGTAGTTAAGCATTATCATCATATTAAGATACTTCTATCCCAGGAGTGTCAAATTCAAGGCTTGGGTGATTGTGGTTAGATCTGGCCGGGGGGGGGGGGGCGCCCTGAAAACAGCAAAGGGCCAGTCCATGGCGCCTCTGCCAGCAAAAATGCAGCTCTGGAGGGCCGCGTGGCTCTGTTTGTGCTGTAGGAGGTCATCACACCCAAAAATGGGGTCCGGGGGGGGGGACGACACGCGCATCCCGCCCGAGCACTGTTTTTGCTGGCAAAGTGCAGGAGGCTGTTGCAGCCAAAAACAGAGATCAGGAGCCTGTTTTCGCTGGTAGAGCGCTTGGGCTGCCACAGCCCCCCCCCCCCCCCCCCCCCCCCCAACGTGAGTGACTTCCAAGCTGGCCTTTCCTACCTGGGCCATACCCACCCCGACCCCTGAGGTCAAACACAACCCTGATTCAGCCCTCAATGAAATCAAGTTTGACACCCCTGTTCTATCGAAAGACTTAAAATATATTTCCATTATTTCTTTTTCCTTTTCATCATATATGGAAGATGTTCCCATTTAAAATAGGTGCTTTCCATAGGATCTGTGTAGATTCATTTATACATTTTAAACAGCTAATATAAAATGCTATACAAATGGGCACGCACATGGGCATACAGATATATAAATGTAAAATACTCTGCCTGAATCAATCCACTTCTGGATGAAATCCTCTTTGCTGAAAGTTTTACATTGAATATAGTATATTGGTCCAGTTGTGGAATTGATAAATATTTTTACTTCTCAATCTACAATAATAATAATTGTATTATTAACAGATATTTTAAAATATTTTCTTATTCATGGAAATATTTCATTTGAATGGAGCATTCTCCTTACTTGTAGCCCAACACACATTGTCAACATTTGTTCCAGATTTGGGGAGAATAGACTAAAATGAAACAAACAAAATGTTTAAAAGTTAGATGTTTATGTAGTTACTTACCAAGCACATCTAAATTATATTAAAGTAACCAAAATATCTTTACAATCTTTTCTGAAGTTGCATGTCATTGATATTTAAAATAGTTACACTTCAGAGGTAGACCTTTTCAAGTTAGTAGACTAACTTATTCCATATGTACGAATAGAACTGTACATGGCATGTTTAAATATTTCTCATCCATTTCCTAATGTGCCTTGACAGCCTTTGAACAACTGAATTTGCCTGATAAATGTTTTCTTCTATAGGATATGCATGGATATAATGTGAAATCTGACATCTATAGTGTGGGCATTACAGCTTGTGAACTAGCTAATGGGCATGTACCTTTTCAGGATATGCCTCGCACACAGGTAAAGCATAACATCCCTTCACAAATTGAATAACTATTATTGTCAAGAGCATAAGACTCTTAATTTTGAAATTTTATGTAGCTAGAGTTTCAATTATCTAAGAATTAGATTCAATTCTCTTAAAAGTATAATGCTGACTAATTTGGTTGGACATAATGATTTCTCATTTAAGTTCACTGTTTACTTGGTTCATGCAAAGATCACTCCATGAAGCATTGCTCTTGAGCATTGGTTAAATTGCCCTTCTTTGGCAGCAAAGCAGTATGTCACTTACCAGTGGAACAGCTTGCCTTCAGAGGTTGTGGATGTTTTATGATTGGAGGTCTTTAAGATGAGACTGGACAGCCACTTGTATGAAATGGTATAAGGCAGTGATGGCTAAACTTTTTCGGATCATATGCCAAAAGTGGGGGGGAGCGCAGCAGGGTCTTCAAGGAAGCCTCTGGAGGGCGAAAAAGAAGGCCAGTAGCAATAGCAATAGCAGTTAGACTTATATACCGCTTCATAGGGCTTTCAGCCCTCTCTAAGCGGTTTACACA